TCAACTTTTTTGTGTATGTTAAAGGCATATCTGCTATTATTTTCATTTCTCTGTTAAGGTAATCATGGTGTGTGCAGCAGTAAAAAGGAACAGGATTTATTTACAACTTGAATTTCACCTTTTCACCTACTGCTATGAACTAGGAGAATGGACTGAGTTATAGATAGTGTTATTTCTTATTTTGGCATACTAGATTGTTTATGTCTTCATGACACACTTACCGTTTTAATCTCCCCATTTTTGTTAATACTGAAGGTGTTGAATGTTGAACATTCATAAAGGAGAAAATGTAGCGAACTCTGTGCTGTAAGAACCACTGTACATCATTACCTTTATTGCTATGAAGGGCAGTTCATGTTGTCTCTACAATTGACAGAATTGATGTTGTGTACAGAGCTTAAAATATCTTTGGCACTGCTGTGTGTGCGTGCACGTGTGTGCCCATGTATACTGTCATTACTTTTTCCCTTTGGTTTATGGCCAAAGATTCTGTCAAAAAAATCTGCCAATATATATTGTTTTAATTATTGGTTCCTGGAGTAGTTCATTTGGAAAATGCAGAACGATGCTTGGAGTTTCTGGCATTGCCCTGCACCGGTAACGCGATTTCACTGATTGTACTTCCCCATGTGATGAGCAAATGATTGTCATTCCAAAAAGTCTTAAGGGACGTGGATGTCATCTTAATAAAGAAATTAAAAAGCACATCTTTCTATGAGAAACAATGTAAATTCCTGACCTGTCGCAGAAAATAGTTCTCTAATTGGTTTTGTGTGGTGGTGCAGCAGAATCGTTTTCTCTGAACGTCATTCCAGCGAATCGCTACTGTACATCATTGTCAGCAGTTCAGCAAAATCTTCCTAATAAGAGCACTATTACATAAATGGAATCGCCTTCCTTCTCCCCCCCCCCAATAGTTGTTTCTATATGCTATGACTTCAAAACCCAACCTTGTACTACTTGATCTTCCTGGGCAACAGCATTATGAATTCTGAAAAATTGTTTTGTTGCTTCTAACAAGGCCAGGCTGGCTTCTGTGCAAATATTCTGAAGTATTTCAAAAGGTTACCAGTGATAACAGGAACAACCAAATATCCTGTAGCTCTTGAAAGACTGTAACATTATTGTGTCGTAAGCTTACATGTGCTAGAGCCCTTTTTGTCAGATGCAGCATTTACAGTGAAGTTAGTGCATATTGTATGAAAAGCTAGTCCTTTCATTACCTCTTCAACAAACAAGCACATTGTCCCTTCCAGATCCTGATTTGAATTTGAAATAAATAGGACTAAAATCCAAATTATGTGTTTTGTACTGCAGGTATAGATGTCAGGGCTCCAGCGTGACGGCCTGGTTTGTGACAACGTGCCACTGCTACAGACATTCTAATCATTTTTTTGCTGGTGCAGTAATCTGTTACGCTGCAGTTCATAAGCCAGTTAAGAGAAGACAAATTAATATAAATCACTTTACACTCTTGTCTTCCACAGGAATTTGAAAGTAAATCCCAGCGGTTTCATTGTGATTTACTTCCAGGTCAATATGTGTTAATGCACTAGCTGCTTCCAAGACTGCTGGATTGTCTTATAGTCAGAATTTTCCGTATCTATCAACTTGCAGTGCAAAGTGATCAGAAGTCATTCTTAACAGGGGTTGTAACAGAAGTCAACAGACTGGGGGTGGATCAGCAGTGTTGTCAATAAAGGGGGGGGATCTAAGGTTTTTGCCTTCATGAGTTTTGTTTTCTTGCTGTTTTTCATGCAATTAAACAAAAAAGGCTAACTCTCCTTACTAGGTAGTCAAGAGATTTCACATGAGTCTCCCATGTAGCCATGTCTCTTCATATCCCACAGAAATAAGGATTTCAGTCAGCATCAGCAGACATAGCCTGACTTGTAAGAACGTCATTAAACTGTCACTGAGAGAGTCCAATATGTATCTAATACTGAAAGCATGCTCCTTTAGGAAGACATGAGGTCTGATCCCATGTACTCCTGGGCAGGTACAGAAATTCTCTCCCATACCTGGCCTGACAGGAGCTCTGAGTTAAGTGTTGACTTGGCTTTTGGTATTTGAGGCATGAAGTAAAACTTTTTTGAGGTATTTTCTGAATGAGACTCAGCTGGCTGAGCATTTGACTCAGTGTGGGAGCGGGTGGGGTTTGCATTTGACTCGCTGTATAGAAAATGTAAGATTTGTTCACAAAGCTTTATCTGTGGGTTGACAAAAGGTCTCTCCCAAACAAGAGAAAAAAGGAGACACAACTACTAGTTATTACTACTGGTAGTGTTTGGCTTTACCATTATTGTTGACATGTGAGCCAGCTTGAGTTTGTGTGGCCAGGCAACATAGAAACATTTTAAATGAACAATAAAATGACTTTGCAAAATTGCCAAGAAAAGCTACAATTTAGCTAGTAGGTATCAGCTGCTGAGAAGGATTTGTGCATGAAGATAAAAGAGATACTGGTCTGATGGCTGTTAAGATGTGCAATACAAAACAAAATAGCCCATTCTTAAATTATGCACTACACTTATTTCCCTATCCTAAAAGTTGTCAGCCCTGACCTGGATAGCCCAGGCTAGCACAGTCACATCAGATCTTGGAAGCTAAGCAGGGTTGGCCCTGGTCAGTATTCAGAAGGGAGATGTCCAAGGAATACCAGGGTTGTGTTGGCAGAAGTAGGTAATGGCGAATGAGCTCCAAGCATGTCGCCTTGAAAACCCCATCTGGTTGCCATAAGTCAGCTGTGACTTGATGGCCAAAAAATAAGGTGTGGGCTGCAAAAAAGATCTGCAGTAGTGTGTATTATTGTTCACCTTTTGAATTCTGCAGGTCTTGTCAGTAACATGTCACTGGTTTAAATCAGTGGTTCTCAACCTGTGGGTCGCGACCCCTTTGGGGGTCAAACGACCCTTTCACAGGGGTCGCCTAAGACCATCGGAAAACAGTAGCAAAATTACAGTTATGAAGTAGCAACGAAAATAATTTTATGGTTGGGGGTCACCACAACACGAGGAACTGTATTAAAGGGTCGCGGCATTAGGAAGGTTGAGAACCACTGGTTTAAATGCTTGGGAAAGGGATTTTACTCACTGGTGGGACAGTTGCTGATATGTAAACAAATACACTTAGTGATTTTGACCTATGCCCTTATCTAGAAATAATTTCCTTTGAAACCAATTAATATTTTAGCATTATCATATACATAGTTACTCAAAAGTAAGTTTCACTGTGTTCAGGAGGATTTACTTCCAAGCAAGAGTGCATAGGGATTCCAGTCGTAGCTTCATGTAGTATTCAGTTTTTCCCTCTGTACAGGGGTTGCTACTGTTTCTCATTAATTTTTAGAATGTAAAATGCTGCAATCGCATGCACACTTACATAAAAGTAAGTATTGAACTCAATGGGATTTACTCTTAAGAAGACACAGGGTTGTGCTGAATTTATTTTCTTTAAAAATTAAAAAAAATGAGTGGTTGTTTACTGTGGTATGTATGCAGGTAATATTTTCTGTATTCTAATTCTGTACATACTGCATTTTTAAGTCTTTCACTTTTTTCATTGTGTTGATTTTGACTTTGAAAGCAAAGTAAAGCTTGGTTTTTGGCAGCCATCAACCAAAAATCATCAGATGAATAGAAGTGTTGATGTCTGACACCTTCATTGCCTGGCATGTTCTGAGTAAGGCCCTATTTTTTAAACCTGATTGCATAAAATGAGCATGTTTTAAGACACTCTGAGTGCAATTCTGAACTCATTTACTTAGAAACAAATCTAGTAGATTTCTAGGATAGTACAGATTGTGGGTTTATTTTAGACACTCTTAGTATCTTAGTCCTAAACTAATGTGTTCAGAATAAGGGTGATTGTAGACTAGTTATCCATGTCTGGAGGATGGCTTGCTTTGAATTATGTTGATACTTAAATGTATAAAAATTGGGAAATGCTTTCCAAAACGTTGGAGTGAAGTTCACAAAGAAAGCAGCTCATATTTTTCATCCGAAAATAGCAGATGGTGGGCAGATGGTTTAAATTAATATTAATTAATTTTTAAAGAAATCTTAAATTGTTTACCCTGAGTGCTCAAAGTTGGGATGCTAGCTGACATCTTCAGGTTAATAGCATTCAAAATCAGCTTGTTAAATACCAGAGCAGAATGTAGTATTTTCAGTCTTTTGGTCACAACTTTGATGCCTGCAATGAAAAGTGCCTTCAAGATGATCTCATTGTAAAAGATTGGGATGAAGCCAGGAAACAAATGTAGTAAAAAATAGTCTAAACAGTTTGGGGCAAAACAGTTTGGGGCAAAACTCTTTTATTGGCAGTGCTTTTGATGGGGTTTGAACAGCAGGCATCTTTGGTGGGGGAGGTATATGGGGGTTATTTTATTTGGTTTTAATTTGTAATGTTTTAATTAATACCTGTAAGCCACCGTGAGCCAGGAGAAAAGGCCTACAAACTTGAGACATGTGTAGCTTATATTTGGAAGAGTGCTGCTGCAGAAATTAAATCTTTTGTTTAAACATGCAAATACTCAATTTGTGACACAATCCTTTATTCTTACACTGCTTGACATCATTTGGTGCAATCCATAATAGAGGCCCAGTTACAAATAAATCTGTATGCAAATAGGGTTTTTTTAATATTAGCCATACCTTGTAGCTGAATGCTTCTCACAGTTTGCAAGATAATGTTTGATCTGCACCAGTCACACAAGATTTTCAATGAGGAGTTAACCATTAGGAAAAGAATTGTTGACTTAAATGGCTCTTTCAAGACAGTCAGTGTGGTGTATTCGGTAGAACATCATACTAGGACTGTCCTGTGGTCGAATTCTACCTGTGTCATGTGGGCCCACCATCTCTCAACGTATCCCATCTCACAAGTTTGTCATCAGGATAAATTGAGAAGGAAAGGTACCTTTCTTGGGGGAAAGGTAGAAGAAGAATAAAATGAATTAAAAGTCATACTGAGTTTAACCACTTTTTTTCTTCCTTCAGGCAGATATATTACATTTATAATGGACCCACTGCTGTATAGTTCTGTGACCAAAAATAGCAAGTATCTGGAATTTCAAGAATTTGCTGATTCCTTGGCATCTCGAACATTTGATTATCCATCTGTATTAAAAGGGGATTTCCCAGGCCTAAATGAAAATGTGCATAGGAATTACCAATTCCTTCTAGGCAAGCCATTGGATGCACTCTCTGACAACATGATGACAAACCTCCAATGGATATTTAATACGCAATTTTCTCAAGCAACAGATTGGAAAGTGGGAAAACTATACAAGTTTTGCTGCTCTGTAATGTTCAAAGCCAGTTTTATAACACTGTATGGAAGAGATCCTAGTGCAGATGGCCACAACGTTATTGGTGCAATTGAAGAAAAATTTACCAAGTTTGATGCCAGCTTTTCCTACTTAGCTGCAAACATTCCAATTGAATTGTTAGGAGCCACCAAGAGGATCCGGAAAGAACTCATTGATGTATTTTTACCTACCAACACTGCAAATTGGCTGGGAGTTTCTGAACTGATTGAAGACAGAAAAGAGATGTTTGAGAGATATGAGGTGCTCAGAGATTACGACAAAGCAGGTAGCAAACTTTTGAATGATTGCTTGTCTAGAATCAGATAATTTACTAGAGACCTTTGAAATAAAATGGCAAAATGGCGACCTTGAACATTTTTAATGTTTTTTCTAATTGGCTAATGATAAAATGTTTTACTCTGAAACAACCCTGTATGATAATTGATTTTCTCTCTCTTTTTTTGGCTGAGGTGGTAAAACAAGATATTTAATGGTGATAATGAGAGAGATTATAACTGAGCTGCATTTCCTCCCCTTATTTCACCCCCACCCCCACCCTGAAATTACATTTCAAACTATTCTCATTAAGCAGAAAATTAGACTTCAGAAGCCTATTGGTCCTCATTAGCATTCACTGATCCTTGGCTGGGTCTGTGTCCTAACATCTTTTAATTAGCACACTGCAAATCTAATCAGTGTAATAAACGCTATTAATCTTCCTTTTCACTTATTTTCTCCCAGCACATCATTTTGCCTTCATGTGGGCCTCTGTGGGAAACACGATTCCAGCTACATTCTGGGCCGTGTATTATCTTCTGCGGCACCCAGAAGCTCTTGCAGTGGTGCGTGACGAAATTGACCATTTGCTGCAGTCAACAGGTCAAGAGAGAGGGCCTGGATGCAACATCCGCCTCACCAGAGAACAATTGGACAACCTGGTCTACCTAGGTAATTTATTTTATCCCTCCTGAAGAAAAGTAGGTATCTCCCTGTAAACTCAGTTTATCACTCATTCTATTTAGTGAGAAGGTGGAGAACGCAGCTGCTTAATTGACATAATAACAACCATTTACATCAATTATAAATTATGTAGTTTATAGCTGGAGATACTCTCACTGCATGTAAACATAAAAAGCCCAGGTAATTAACTAGGCAAGGTATGCAAAAGGCTGAATCAAAGCTTTGCAGTTATTTACAAAAAGTTTATGCCTATTAAGTTTGATTCTGAACATCTGCTGAAGTGGTAATGCATTTCAAATACGTTCATGCAATAGAAAATTGAAAGGAAAGTAGTTTCAACAATCAATTTACTCTCAAAATATAATTACATTTTACAACGATAGCCTTCATTCTTTTAGCAGCTGAAGCAGAGTCTGCTTCCTAATCTATCTACTAACTCAGCCCAGAGATGCAAGTTAAAATATTTCTTTACACCACAGAAATGTGTGTAGAGTGCTAGGGAGGAATCTTGCACCCAGTCCTGAAATATTTACTTGGAAGAATGGGTAGAACATTTTTCTTGATAAACTAACTTTTGGGGATTAACCTGATTTTACCCCAAAAAAGTTACTTATTAGGAAATGAAAGCAATAAAATTGTCATAAGAATGTATGGTAGACTTCTTACAGTTTTTGTGATTTCATAATGTATGTGGAAAATTGCTTTTTGAAAATCTACTATGTTAAAATGTCCCCACAAGTGGAAAAAATAACAAATGACAAAGAAAACTAGTGTCGTTTGTCTGATAAGTAAACTTTCAGAGTGCTGTGAAATTTTGCTTTTAAAAATACAATCCCTTGCATGCATTCTTAAACAGTACAGCACCGTGAGGACTGTACCCTGTTACCTTTGTGATTATTTGAACTGATTCAGAATCTCACTGCTTTCAATTAATTACATGTGAAGCTTAAGAGTGTGACCTTAGTTCAAGTGCTCAAGTATATTTCAAGAATTTCCATACTGGGTACCAAGCAGTAGTCTCCCCATGCAGTCCCAGAATCAGGATTAGATCCCACAGTCTGTTCTGCTAGCAGGAACACTTTCCTCCAGCACATAAAGCCTCATCCTGACGTCTTGTCACAGTGGTAAGTACCACCAGGTGTAAGGCAGCAGGCCATAGGATCCAATTCGAGAGAAAAGGAGCATGTAATTATTTGATGACTCAGCAACACATGACTCCCTTATGTTACAATATTGGGCCACCACAGAATGTAGAGCATTTGCTATTGGTCTTTCTGTGTCTCTTCAGTTAACAAAAAATGAGTTTACTCTCCAGATTTGTCCAAATCAACATGTTTTTTAAACATCATTTGTATCTATTCTAAAACAAATTCAAGTGATTTATGTGTTTTCTCAATTGGTTTTGATCCAATGTAGTATTTTTATCTAAAACACTGGATGTTAGAAAGTTTTAATAATTCCCCTAAAAAAAGCCCATAGTTGGAGCTCCTTTGCATATTAGGCCACACACTCCTAGTGTAGCCAATCCTCCAAGAGCTTACAGTAGCCCCAGTAAGAAGAGCTCTGTAAGCTCTTGGAGGATTGGCTATACTAGGGGTGTGTGGCCTAATATGCAAAGGAGCTCCTGCTACCAGTAGAGCCCTGGGTTTTTTAGCGAACCTGGAAAAATGTTATTCAGAATATTGGCATAGTATGTCACTTCCTAAAGATAAAATGATAATTTGTGTATTTTTTGTAAAGTCATTTCACACAAAAGCTCATAGATATATAGATACCTTTCAGCAAGAAGAGATATGAAGTGCAAACAGAATAATTTTAATATGATTATTTTATAGAAAAGTTGAGAGAAAGCAAGGAAATTGCACAGGTAAATTCTTTGTAGAACTACACCAAACCACTACACCAAACAGTGTACATAATATGTATTATGGAAGCTGGTCACAAGATAATTTCTCAGTGGCATTATGAGGCTGGCAAGGATGTGGTCACCTTAACTTTAGAATTGAAAACGCAAATTTCAGGAAAATAATATATCACCTAAGCCTCTGTGTTTCGGGAAGCTCCATAATAATACAGTCAACTCTTTGTTGCTATATGTGACTTACAAAGAATCCAGAAAGAGATTACCTATAACTTCACGGCAATCTACATTATTACCCATCAACTTTGGGTTAGGAAGTTTCTTGAGATTTGGGGGATGCAGCCTGGAGAGGGGAGGGACTTGAACAAGGTTTAATGCCACTCTCCAAAGCAGCCATTTTCTCCAGGGGAAATGAGCTCTGTTTGGAAGTCAGTTGTAATTTCAGGAAGTCTCCAGGTTGCACCTGAAGATTGGCAGTTCTATTATCCATTGAAATTTACAGTGAGTTTTAAGTCAGAAACTTTTCATTTCACCAAGATACAGATATAGGAAGTAATAATAATAATGGAGATGCAAAGGAATATCAGCCTTCTATGACAGTTAGGATGAGCTCCGTAGTCAAACCAAGATGAACTTGTTTCAATCACTATTATTATTTTTAAGGTTTATTTCACACTTATGTGAACAAACATCAGGAATGTAGGGTGATAAGCAGTGTTCCCATTAAGCTGTGCTACAGTTTGCTTGTGCGTTAATTTTTAGTCAGTAGTGCATGGGTTTTTGGCTCAACAAAGGTTGAGCCCACCTGCTGGCTATGTGTGCAGCTGGCCCACCCCCTTGAATGGCCATGGGCAGTGGCCGGCTTCCCTCCCAGTGGCCAAGGCCAGGCAGCAGGGCAGCAGGAGTGGCTCCTTCTTGCTGAGCATTGGCCAGCCCCCCCCCCCAGTGCTGGTGTGCCAGAAGAAAGGCACGGGCAGCCGCATAGATGTGGTGCTGGAATGCTTGGCAATGGCTTCGGCTATGTTGCTTGGCCCGCCAACCATGCCCAGGAACAGCCCCCACCTGGGGTAAAGAAAGCTGAAATGGGGGGGGGACGACAGGAGGCTATTGCTTCCAATTTGTTCTGCATCTAGAAGCAACCTCACACACCGCCATTCCTGTCAGTGCCCCATCTTCTCCCTGCTGTAGAAAATGGAAGGCATGTTTGAATCTTTGCCCAAGTCTGATCCACAGCATGGAAGATCTTACTATGTAGCATTAAAAGAGACAGCAGGTAACAGTGAATATAGTCACAGTTAAGAATTTGGTGGTGGTGGTGGGTAATTCCCACCCAAATACTACTTTAAACTTACAAATCTAAGTTGCAGAGCATTCATCACAAATTTACATATTTAAATCTTATTACAAGGAGACATTACCATTTAGAAAATTAATGCATAGTGATGGTACAAATTAGTTAGTCACCACCTCTATGCATATATATGTCATGGATTTTAACTTTTGTAAACTGCTTAGAGAACCAATCTTGGATGAAAAGCAGGGTATAAGCAACCATGTTATTGGGGGTGGGGAATCACAAACGTTGCTTTTATGTAATGATAAAAATTGTATATGAAAGGACATTTAAAAAAATTTATTTCACGGGATTGTGTTTTAATTAGATTTACTAGATATAAATATAAACAGGAGACTTTAAATTCAATTCTGACTAAGCCATTTTTAAAAATACATTGTTTTAAAAAGTTATTTTTTTTAGTTATTTAATACTGGATCCATACCACTTTATTAATCATGCTAAATGATAGTGGAGTGATACACTGTATGGTGATCTGGATGATTTTAAAGTATTTCCTTAAAACTATAGTCTAGGAAGCAGTTGCTTGTACTGTTACTTGGAAAAAACTATTGTAATTTTTTACTCTGGCAAAAATGGTCTTGCCTTGATAAATATATGAAGCAAGCATCATTGGGTGGCAAATTCCAGAAAGGGCATCATTTTCCTTCCAGTTTTTATAAATGCATGTCATCTTAAAAAATGAATGCGAGCAGAGAGTGTCCTTTTCCCACCCTTCAAATGCAGAGAGATTCTTGAGCATTGTAGCTCAGAGGCAAAATCCACATGGATGGCAGGCTTGTAGATATGGCCAGGACTCACTATATTCTCCTGTACTGCGTGCCTGTGCTTTTACTGAGATGATGAACCCTTTCAGAGGACCTCCATTTAGGCTCTTGCTACTGTGAGATGCCTGTAGTAGTACAGATCCATTTTCTGACTTTTTTGCTCAGGTGCTGAACAGAGTGGACTAATTCCAGGCTGCTGGGTTGTTCAGAAGCTGCCTCTATTATACATGTGATTGCCATAGACCTGAGTTAGGGGAGAGTATAGGATATTTTGGTTGTATGAAAAAGGGCTGTGTCTAATCTAAGTGGCATGTAAGTCAGCATGTGAGACTGGGGTAGTCTTCTGCTTGTATCTCTTACAGAAGGCTTATAAAATGTGGTTTGCTTATATGAAAGAAACTGGGTACCTAGAATGTTTAGTGAGGCTTGTTTCTTTAGATCTTAAGAAAACATCATTCCTCCCAGCCTTCTGTCTTCACTTGTAATGTTTAAATAATGCTTGAGATTTTTACAAGGTTATGGTAACAATCTTCTAAGAAAACTAATTTGCACAATAATCAAATGTAGGCTCGCTCACAACTTTATTTCTAGTAGCTCACGAAGTAGAATTTTTGGTCACAACACTCCACAGCTTAGAAGGCACATTGAAGGCATAACAATCTAGACAAATTGTGAAACGTCTGGAAGGGAAGACCTAGTCAGGCCCCAGCTAGCTTTAGCAATACTGGCCACTTCTGACCTGATCTTTGTCCTGCAGTCCTATCTATCATATCCTATTTCCTCCATAATTGTCAGATGTAGGATTTCTTCTTTCTAGACTTCCAGAAATGCTCACTGCTTTCCAAGGCTAAAGGCTTTTATGATTCATAGTCTTTGGCTGGACTAACTGCCCACTTCGGGGCAGAAGTCCCCATATCAGAATGTGGGTTGGGGGGAAAACAGAGCATGTACCATACAGAATTAATTTGCTTCTCCACTTTGCCAAAATGATTTTCTTATTGGGCAAGACTAAAGCTTATGTAGTAGGTTTCTTCCAGGGCCTCTACAGCTCCAATACTTACTATGGTTTGTAAGACCTAACCTAATAATCTGACTAGAGTTAAACATGCTTATAGACCATTCTCTCTTTTTAATATCAATTGTAGTCTGTGGTTAAATGGTATCTACTCAGTTGTCTTTAGGATTGCAAGTGAGTTTGGATCAGCCTCCATATCAGGTTTAAGCTATGACTCATCAGTATAAGCTGTATACCTGTGTGCAGAACTGCATGTAAATATTTTTGTGTGGCTGAGAATGCTCTTAATGTTTTTTTAGAAAGATGGAAATTCTGGGGGCTAAAGATTGCCATGGCTTTGGGTCCAAATTTGGTTTGAAGGCAGCGTTTCAACTATAGATATTGCCAAGAATGTGATTGGTACAGAGGAAAATAGACTTAATTGAAATTCTGTCTGAAAGTTTTCAGATAATTTTAAAGTGTCTCTGGTATTCAACAACTGATGCAGTATTGTTTATGTATTGGAGGGAGAAAACACCAATCCCAAATAATTTCATAAATAACTATTTTTTCCTACTATACACCCTGATACTTAAAGGTTCCTATTACCTGTTAAATGCTTATTATAAAATTAACAATGCATTATGTGCAGTAAGTTTTTTTTATTAAACAGTTACAGACCAAGATTATGTTTAATTAAAATTAACTTGCTTATGAAAGCCAAATGCACTAATGATTCACAATGACCTTTTATTACCTGCAATCCCTTGTTTTGGCTGGATGATTGACAGCTTGCTGTTTGGCTACTGTGTTGTATTTCAGCTGACAAGACTTTTCATTTTAACTCAATTTGCCTGCCTATCACAAGCTGGTGGCAGGCCAGGCTCAAGCCGCCCAGCTTTGCCTCGGCAGCTTGCTCTATTTCTCATTAGTACACATTTATTCAGTGGAAATTGGAAGACAAATGCTTGAAGGCATGTGAACTAAGTATAGCAAATTAGGTTTAAAGACTGAATATTTATAAGTATATTGAAACGGCTTCGACTTTTAAAAAAAGGATCTGGGATGAATTGAAAGCCGAGGATATAAGAGAAAAGTGGGTGGATTCTAAAAATAACAATACTATGGGCTGTCTGTCTCTCTCTCTCTCTCTTTCTGTGCATAGCAAATATGTCAACTTTTCTGACAGCCCCTTTTTGTGCAGGGAAGTTTCAGCATCTCATGTGTGCAAGAAGGAGGGAAAAATGAGGGTCATGTTCATTTGCTGCTTGGTTATCCCTTGGTATGCTTTAAATTGCCTTGTTTGTTCGGCACTAGCACAGAAACAGATGTTGCTCTACCATGCTGGATAATTTACTGTACCTCATGGTGCAGAATGGAAGCCCTCCCAAGCTACCCAGCTGGTCTGACAGGAGCGCACTGGCTTGTGACTACTGAAGTATGACAACAGCAAGTACAGACTGCGTTTTATCATGCAGTTGTCATTCTTCTCAGCACAGAAGTCCAGCGTTCATACAGGGACTACATGCAGAGTGGGGGTGGGGGGGATGTCTTTTTGTTTATCTGCTTTATTGGTAAACTACAGTAGACCCACACAGACTCCACCTTCCTTTGTTGATCATAACATGACTCATTACTTTTGTCATCCAAGGATTATCAGCATGATCGCTCAGAGCTAGAGCCAAGCTTGCCTTCCCCCACCTAACTGGTACTGGAAGGTAAAACAGATTTGTCATTTATGATCTGACCACTAAGCCACACTTTGAGCTCCATTATTGTGATTAACTTCTGCATAAGATCCGCTTGGCCAATTGTCATTTGTGATACTGCGGCGGGCACAGGCTGCCATGCTTGCTGGAAAAAAAACATCAGCCAATCTAATGTGACTGTGTTGCTCATGCTACTCAGTGTAAACCTGCCATCTCAGCAGCTGTACTTCCCTGTTTATTTTGCTTGCTTTCTTGCTGTGGCTGTTGCATATTCCTCCCTCCCCATTTGGTACATTTGGAGCATGGCGGCATCACATATGTCAGCTACCATTTCAACACTGGATGCTTAATGGTGTTATCGGCTTCATTTTGCCTAGGCATGAGACAGCCTACAAGTGTAGTCTGGACCTTTCCTTTGTACCGTGTAAAGTTTTTGTTGCCAGAGCACTGCCAGTTGAAATCTATCGTGTCAGGTGCCTTGTGGCTATCCGCAGTAGAGGCCATATTCTGGAACCAGAGTTCTTTTCTGGCTTCGTCACCAACAAGACGATTTGACTCTGCCTGATTATAGTAACGAAGGCAGTCCAAAAGAATATGCACAGCCTCACTGTACGTCACATTGAATCATGGCGTTGGCCACACAGAACTGACCGCAGCCTCATTTCTTTAGACAAATGCACGCTTAAGGAAAAAACTCCTGCGAGAAAGCATCCAAGGCCACTGTATTTGCTATGCACGCTGCAACAGATTTAATTGTTACTGAAAGAACGTTTGTTATTATCTTTTTCCCCCTGATGTTTCTACTTTGGGGTTGCTACTATCTCTAATAAACTAACCTTTTGGTTCGAGGGGTTGTAGAACCTCACATCCCACTTGGGGAGGGAGAGGGAAACTGATATGCCATCCACAAAACCTCCCCATGAAATTAACCACCTATTTATCTTTTGGGGGAAGAGAGTTCTGATTTTTTCAAGGCTAATTTTCACACTGATGACTTGAAAGAGTCCAGCCGCCTATTACTGCGCTCAGCCACGCTGGTGGAGAAATAGTCAGTTTTGATTACAAAGTGAGAGATGTAGCTCCTGTCTGGGGCTGCATGCTGGTATGCATGCTATCAGAATGATTTATGCAAATTATGCATATTATTCCCAAAGGAATTCCTCCTCAAACTGCCAGGATAAATTGCCGGAAATTAGCCATAAAATCTGTCGTGCTAGGAGCAAAAGGTGAAGGCCACTGGGAAGGCAAGGACATTTGCCTTCTAGAGCCTTCCAAGCTATGGCAGGCTCCTCGAAAATGTTTGGGATTTGTGTCAAAATATTGCACAGAAATATGGGTTTTCTCCCCATTAACTCATCAAAGTGCCATACATAATTGGAATATGCTCAGCCAACAGTAGAAATTATTGTGTGATGATGATGATGATGATATTGTGAAGGGTTCCTTAGTTTACGGTATTCTTACCTCACTGTTGATTGTACCCTTCTTTTGAGTAGATGGCTTTCTAGAAGCACAGTTCTGAGTCTAGTGCAGGGCTTTGGAACAGCAGGCTGAACAGGGACTTTTCATGCTGTGCCTGGTGTTTGCTTGCAACCCCTGCAGTTTATGTAAATGCATATAAGCATTCATCTCTTTTGATTGTGGTGTTTTAAACATGATTCCTGAATAATGGTTTTCCACCCAAAAGCTACAGCGCTGCCTGCAGCCTAACTCAATTCATTGGACCTATCAGTGAGGATTATATTTAAAAATTCAGAATTTCTCCTCCAGCCCTCTGGGATGGTTTATTACCTCCTTGGCTTTTCTCCTCCTGCTTTTGTTGCTAGCTTGCTCTAGTAAACCTGTAACCTCTGGCAGCTGTAGCAGCTTATATACTTCCAATCACCTTCCATATTTTTTAATGCTGTAGGGTTCTTATTTTTTCCCCTCCCTTTTATTTAAATTCAGAGAGTGCTTTAAACGAGAGTTTACGAATGTCTTCAGCTTCCATGAACATCCGCATCATCAAGGAAGATTTTATTTTCAAGCTTGAAGGAAATCAGGAAGTCAGCTTGAGAAAAGAAGACTGGGTAGCAATTTATCCTCCTATTCTTCACATGGACCCGGAGGTCTATGAAGATCCTAAGGTAAACATTGAGCTGGTATTACACAGACCACTTGAGGGCCATCTCAGCAGCTAGGCATTTTGTAAAGTATAGGTCTTTTCCCTCCCCCTCCCCCTTTCTTTTTTTTTTTAAACTGCTGTTCTTCCTTGTGGAACAAATCCTCCTACTTTCAGATGACGTTTCTAGGTGCCTGCAGGTCAACAAGATTCATGGCCTAAAGAGAAAAATACAGTGATGAGACTGACTGCTATCCCTTTGAGAGCATTTGACAATTGTACCATTGACTACCGTAAACTTGAGGATAAATGTGGGCTTTGTTTGGAAGTGGATCATTGGATGCCCAAAGAAGGCTGAATAATAGAAGGTGGCTTAAAGAGCAAATAATGTGGGCCATTGAGCTAAGTGCCCCCAAAGCATCATTGACTCTCTAAAGCCCCTATAATAGCAGTGTCTTCTTGAGCGTATGCTTTTTCACCTCTCTTTATAAGGATTGGCCCTTCCGTGGTCAATTAGTATGGCGTCGTGAACTCAAGATTGTAAAGCTGTTGCTCTGCCGTGAAGCTTTGAGGGTAATTGTGTCATCTCCTTGTATTTTTCCCCCTTCTGAAGCTAAAGTTAATGAATATAAAAGACTGGAAATTAATCCACCCTAGCTCAGCATTAATATGAGTCCAGAAGTTCATCACCTGCATGCAAATTGAATAGTCCTGTTCTTCCTTAGATTTTTTTTTTACTGACAGGTTGTTGCTGGTTTCAGAGTGCCATTCAGGAAGCAAGATTTTACAAAAGGAAGCTGTGGAATGGTTGCTGTAACTTTAATTACATCAGTTACATCAAGAATAGGCCTTGAAGACCTTTTCACTGAAAGGGATACAAATTTTATACTAAATCAAATTATTATCAGCCTCTTATTTCTTGATTTAAAAAAAAACACAGTTGCAGTAAATCATAGTTGCAGATAATCCAGTGAAGAGAGCTTTGACTCTTGAAAGCTTATACCCCCAAAATTTTGTTGGTCTCTAAGGTGCTGCAGTGGCTCAAGTGGTTAAGACACTGAACTGCAGGCTGTGGAAGGTCGGTAGTTCAGCAGTTCAAGACCCGAGTTGCCACATGACGGAGTGAGCTCCCGTCTCTAGTTCCAGCTCCTGCCAACCTAGCAGTTCGAAAGCAAGAAATTGCAAGTAGATAAATAGGTACCACTTCAGTGGGAAGGTAACAGCATTCCATGTGCCTTGGTGTTTAGTCATGCCGGCCACATGATGACGGAAACATCTTCAGACAGCGCTGGCTCTTCAGCTTTGAAACAGAGATGAGCCCCGCAACCCTAGAGTCGGATTCGAATGGCTTTCGAGCAAGGGAACCTTTACCTTAAGGTGCTACTGGACTTGAATCCGGTAAATAACAGGCAATCTGAAATATGGAAGTCACTCTAGTTGTACTTCTAGAAAAAGAATGGAATAGACAGAACAAGTTTTTTAAAACTCTGTTTCCCAAGTTTTGCTGCTCTCAGGATTGCTTTATATGTCTATGCTTTTTATTGGTTCCATGTGTGGGGTTATGTATTTTGGGGTCCTGCACAAACTATTGTGTACAAAATGGCTGCAGTTTTCTTTTTAGGCATGTGTGTTCTAAAGTTACATATTGCAATTGTCTTTAGCTAGCTGAGGATGTTAGTTCTGCAACATTAAAAGTTGGTCTGTAGCTGCAATAGTCATGCATATAAACACAATAGTTCTTGTGCCAAGTTCTGTACACTCAAGCAACCATCCATTATAAGCACACTATTAGCTTTTTATATACAACATTTGTAAGGATGAAGGAAAACATAATATTAAAGCAGAAGGCATGGTGGGCTATTTAGCATACTACTTCAAAGCCAGCTTCACAGATGTACATAGCAAAAAACAAAACATTGCTTCAGCCAAGGAGTCAAAGTATCAATGATGTTAAAGTGATGATTCCAGTTCTCAGTTGCACTTGGCCATATGTTGGGCTGAATTGTAATCCCAACCAAACAGAGGTGGTTACTTGTGGGGGGGAAGGACTGACCCAGAAACTGAGATACCTCCTGTTCTGGATGGGGTTACACCCATTCTAAAGGAGCAGGTTTGTAACTTTGTGGTACTGCTGGACTCAGGCCTCCTGTTGGATAAACAGTTAGACGTGGTAGCCTGGGTGCATTTCACCAGCTATAGTTAGTGAGCCAGCTGTGACCTTTCCTGGGCAAGAAAAACCTTGCCACTGTAGTGCATGTGCTAGTAACAGCTGCAGTGCACTCTACATGAAGCTGCCCTTGAAGATTGTCCAGAAGCAACAGTTGGTACAGAATGCTACATCATGAATACTGACTGGAGTGGGTTGCAGCAACCATATCACTCCGGTCTTGTTCCATCTACACTGGCTCCCAATTTGCTTCTTAGCCAAATTCAAAGTGCTGGTATTAACCTTTAAAGCCCTGTATACAGCTCGGGGCTAGAATGCCTGAAGAACCACCTGCTCCTATATGAAACTACCTGGCCACTCCAGTTATCATCAGACTTCTTGGTCGTGGTGCCAAAACTTTGGAACTCCTTCCACAGGGAAATTCAGTTGTCTCCCTCTATCACTGTCTTCCATGAGTGGGGAAAGACTTTTTTGTTTTTGTTTTGTTTGGCTTTCTCGCACTAACTTGTATTAGCCCTCCTTATTTGTGTGTTTATACTTTATGTGGTTATGTGTTTAGATTTTGTTTTATCCTTGGAAGAAAGGTAGAATAAAAATCCAATAAGTAAATACTTTATACCAATTTATGGCTTTTTATCCACTGATGTTGATATTTGTTAACCTACATTCAGTTTCTCACTTGCTCTCCACTAATGCATAAACAAAAAAAAAGTTTACCTGTGATTCTTGAATTGTACACAGCTGATTTCAGCCTATTGTAAAGTGTCACAGGCTGCGATCACATACACTAAATAATACACTTTCAATGCACTTTTGAATTGGATTTTGCCAGTTCACACAGTAAAAGTCCAGATTGAAAGTGGATTATTTAGTGTGTGTGACCGCAGCCACAGTTACATAATTGCTATTAATAAATGTTCAGTTTTGTTATTGTATTGGCTAAATGCAAAAGATATTATGGATAACTTCAACATTCAACTTACCTGTAAATGCCACTTTGTGGCAGACATGAATGCTATAGCTGTGTTGGTTTTCCTGCATTAAACAGACAAAATGTGCAATAAGTCTGTATCCTTATATAGTTTTGTTCTTATGAACCCATTTAGGTTGGGACTCCCTAATTTATATGCATCCATGTTTAAATTTACTTTAATTTTTTCCTGTACAAAACATGAGCAAAACAATTGTGCATTACAGCAATTACTATTTATCATTATTTATTTTTATAGATAGATAGATAGATAGATAGATAGATAGATAGATAGATAGATAGATAGATAGATAGATAGATATGCCTCCTCTCCAGAGACCTGCTCAAAGTAGCTCACAGGTTTTCAAAAAACAAAACAAAATAAAAACAGGTTACGTATGAATTATCAATATTAAAACAAGCCATAAAGCTAAAAGCCATTAAAAATGAACTTCGGACTAGAAACAGACCACCACTAGTCCACCACTAGTCCACCAGCAGTCCATCATTAGTGCACTAGTGCACCACCATCGCACTAGCTACCATCTATCCCCCATATATGGACATCAAGATGGGGCATGCACATCTAGTTGCTGCATTATGGGCGAGAACGGGATGGTCAGGGATAGCCATCTTGCTTTTAGAAATTTTAGAATTTGTACAGATTGTATAATTTGCTAGGCATCAAAATCTGTTTTAAATAGGGCTGTAATTTAATATTTTGTATTGTTTTATGGTTTTATCTGGCAATATGCCCTGTAAGCCGCCCTGAGCCTCCGGGGAGGGCGGGATAAAAATGTGAATAATAAATAAATAAATAAATAAATAAA